ACCCGGAGGAACGAAGGCAACGCGTGCTGTTTTGAGGAGAGAGGAGGTCAGAGAGGTAGGGGGGTGCAGAGGAGTGCAGGGACTTGAATACGAGGGTGAGAATCTTGAAGTCGATCCTCTCTGGAATAGGCAGCCTGTGCAGTCTGGCAAGGACTGGGGTGATCGGGGAGCGGAGTTTAACAACAAAATTACATCTGTATAGCGCTTTTCAAGTTGGGAGATCGTCCCAAGGCGCTAGACAATCAGTGTTTCGGACATTTACATTTACAGGTTATGGAGAAAGCGTGTGAGCCAGATGAAATGGAGGGAGGAGGCCGGATGAAAGCAGCCCGCAGGCTGTCAGCTTCAAGGTGAAGAGAAATCAGATGGAATTATTTTACATGAAACATAATTAACTTGGAGGATAAGTTACCAATTTGATATATTTCTGGTGAGAAATAGGATTTAAGACATAGTGAGAAGTTAGACCGTGAGGTCCCTCCAACACACCTGGGCTTATTGTTTTCCTTCATATTTTAAAAAATTATATTCCCTCCCCAATATATATCTTCTGAGAATTAGCAGGAGATCTGTTCCCATGCCTCATCAATGGTCCTCTTTAGCCAATAAACTGTAAGAGAAAACCACAGTGATTTTCCCAATAGAGAAACAGCTACCCTCCTTTTAATGCCTCTTCCAACAGCCTCTGTGAGAAAGTCACAATGTAGGAATCATAAAGATAACATCAGCTTCCTGCCACTCCTTTGTGTATCATTGTATCAGTAAATCAATGTACTGCACAAATAGGCTTAATAATACTTGTCAATACTAAGTATTATTAATACGAAACATGAATCTTTTAATGTTCCATGAGATAGGATCTGAATTTCACTGTTTTTTTAATAACATAAGATCCAGTTTGGAAGCCTCAAAGCAGTAAAACGTGCATAAGTAGAGACTTTACTGATTGACAGTAACTGGCACAGGTTTCCCCAGTCAATTAAAGGGAATTCCTACCCTTGGTAAATTAAGAAAATGGTTTCCATTGTCATGGTAATTACAATTAAATTGAATCTTCTGTTTCTGGTCCAAGTTTCTCTCTGTAGCAGCACACTATTGTATTCAAGTATTTTATTTAAACTTTGATTAATAATCCTGATAACTGCACCTCTGTTGCACCATTTATGCAATTGAAGCATTTCTAAGCACTTTGAATTTCCCTTTTATAAGTAAAATTTGAGATGTCACGAAAAGGCGCTATATCAAATGCAAGGATTATTATTATATAAAGTTACCCTATTTACCAGAAGGATGGAGAAAAGCATGTTTACCATTATGACTAGATTGAGAGCCCGTTTCACCTCTAGTTATATAGTTGTGGATTTGAGCATTCTATTTTAGCTCATAATAAGATCTTTCTGACCTTCATTTTCTTTGTTACTGATTGTAGCATTACATTCATATACTTTAAAGTAACTCATTTAAAGCTTCTCAACATAAGGTGCTATATCAAAAGCATCTCATTATGATAGCTCCTAAAACATTATTTATGATAGCTGCTCTTGCTCTAAAATGTGAGGAAGGAAAAAATAAAGGAAATAAATCCACATGACAATATTTGCACTGTTAAGTGTTGATAAATCTACTTGATTGCCAGCTGGCATGGAAGCAGGAAGTTGAGGAAAAACACAGACAAAACTGGAGGTGCAAGTCTAGAAGCTGTGAAAGGGCTGACAAAGCTGGCTCAGACAGTAGGTTTCTGGAAAAACCACGTAAAATAATAATAATAATCCTTGCATCATGTTGTTGAGATGTCTCAAAGTGCTTCACAGAATATACTGTAAAGTGAATTCACTGTTTTGTGGGCGAAAAGTATTGAACACCGCTTCTCTCTGGTAAATCAAGCAGCCATTTTGCACTGATGCATTGAGTCCATTAAGCCTCTGTGTTAGTTTTCATCAAGTTAATGTGGGGATTCATGTGGTTCATGCCGGAATGATCTGCCTTTGAAACATCCTGTAAATCAGTTGTAATATTTATCAAATGGATAGTGACATCTAGTGGCAGACCTTAGGCACTGCATCAGTCTTCATTTATATTACTGTATATTGGCTGGCCGGCCAATTTGGACAATACTGACCTTTTCTCTAGTGTCAGATTATGACGCAAACTATTCCCTAGATATTTAGCTGAATGGCTGAATCTAATGCATCTTCTCAAACCTATTAGTCAAAATAGGCACTGACAGCTAAAAGTGTGTAAGTGCCCATTTCCTGATTCAGATATCCCTTACCTTGTTCAGGGCCAAAACCCTGACACAGATAAGAAGAGCAACAAATGGTATTCTATTGTCAGAATCCTGAGTCGTTACACACACTTATACGTAATTAGTCTCATAAGGCATAAAATAACTTACCACAATGGAAAATGAGATTTTAAGGCACGTAAGGTTCATAGAATCATAAAATCATAGAATATTACAGCACATTAAGTCCATTAAGTCTGCACTGGTATTCTTCTTTGCATGAATCACACAATTTAACTTTAGTCCTTCACTTCTTCCCCATTCTTTTACTATTTAGTAGAACTGAACATTTTTTTTGAGGAAGAGAATAGAAAAAGAATTTGGGGATTGTTGAAATGTCTAAAAAACATGTACATTGTTCATAGCTTATTTGTTTGAACAGCTATTGTGTCAGCCTGTCTCAGTTGCTAGCAATCTCAGCTCTGAGTCAGAAGGTTGTGGGTTTAAGCCCCAGGTCAGGAGCTGGAATTTATGTTGTCCAAGATGACACTCCAATGCAGTCTGGGGATATGCTCTGCAATGTCGAAGGTGCCGATATGCAGATGAAATGCTAAACCAAAGCCCATTCTGCTTGTTCAGGTGGATGTTAAAGATGGCAATATTTGAAAGGAGAAGGGAGTTTCTCCCAGTGTCTTGGCCACCAAACCCCAAATAAAATTCATTTTGTGGCTGTTTGTGGGACACTGCTGTGCACAAATTGCCTGCAACGTTTGCCCACAAAGCACACAGTCACTGTACTTCACAGTATATCCTGTGAAGTGTTTTGGGACATCTTTTTGACATGAAAAGCACTATACCAAATGTAATAATTATGATTATTAGTCAAGCAGACCTGACAAAGCCTGCAAGTAAACCAGATTGCATTTGATCTTGCCATCTTCTGGACTTTAGGTCAAGAGTATTACCATGTGATCTATCAACTGTCACATTACAGTTTGCTGTGAACCTGCAATTGAACTCAAGAGATGTGATCAGATTGTGTATGAAATTTATTCTCTGCCTGTTGGAAAATGCAATGGAATGGAAAATTTGTGGAAGACAGGAGTGGAATTTCCCATTGGGAAAATAGCCTAGCATTAATCTGTCATGTGTTTCACTCAGTCCCCAATTACAGTACAAATAATAGGAATGTGCCCCCGGAGTTGGGAAAAGGAAAAAGTCAATCACTGACAGGGAAGAGGTCAAAAAAACAGACTACCCTCCTTCTAGATTGTCTGCTTTCTGAAGAATCATGTCACATATGATTCGAGCTAATGGGTATTCGGGTTTAATGATGAAGAAAATATTGAAGTTAAGAAAATATTTTTCAGGCAACTCCCTGGAGACGTCAGCAGCCATATTTTGTGATGGCTATTTGGTGTCAAATTGCCTGCTTAGCACAGCAGGCTCTGTGTCAGAATCCTGTAGACACCACTCTGTAGGAAATATATCAGGATAAAATGTCGAGTTCACTGTTTTTCTCTTCTGTGTACTCTTATCAGACAGTGCAGGAAGATTCACAATTCAGTGCATACCAGAGGTTAGTCATGAAGTGTGAAAAGCAAATAAAGAGCTTTATTATTGGCTGTTCACTGTTTTACTAAATTATATATCTTAAATTTTGAAGTCATAAGTTACATCATAAAAGGATCATGTCAGCACTTTACTTTATGGAGGATCAAAAAGACCTCGCAATCCAGTGGAACATTCTGAAATACTCTTGATAATCCTTTCATATCTTATATATAGAATTCACCCAAGAGTTATATACGTAAAGACTGATTATGATTAACCACAGGATAATGCAGTAATTGGGATATTTCAGAATCTACCAACTGTAATAACCTGAACACTACCATTGATGGATATTTCAGCTGCATAATGTAATGTTATTGGCTGAGCAGAAAACAGTACAGTTATGATAGTCAGGGAGGGGCTAAAATAATAATTATTGCATTTGGTACAGCACCTTTCATATGAGGAGGACGTCTCAAAGCGCTTCACAGAATTTACTGTAATTTACCCTAAAGTGTAGTGACTGTGTATTCTGCTGCTGAACATGGCAGCTACGTTGTGCTCAGCATTGTCGCAGCAACAGCCATGAAGTGAACGACCAATGTTATCTGGGGGATTCTTGCTCAGTAAACCATGAGGAACTCCCTTCTCTTTTCAAGTAGTGCTTTAATGTCCACCTTAACAGGCAGAGAGAGAACCCCAGTATAATGTCTCATCTGAAAGACAACACAACCCTACCCCCCAACATTGCATCAGAATGTCAACCTAGACTATATGAGTTCAATGTTCTGGTGTTGGGCTTGCACCCATAACCTTCTGACTCTAACATTGAAGACATCAAAGGACTTTACAGGTAATAACTGTCAAAGGTAATGACAGTGTATTTGTAGGCAAACACAAATACTCTTGATAATCACAACAACTAATTTGAAACGGTCCCAGCAACAGCCATTAAACACACACACAAGATCATAAGACCAGTTTGGATGAAGAAGCTCCTTTCGGGCCATCTGATCTCCTTTCGGCCAATCGAATCTCCTCATCCTTTCAGAATATCCTACCCATCATCTTCCAACCACAGCATCACGTTTTTTAAAAAAATAATTCTAGTTTTCTCAACCACCACTCCCTTTCCTATCTTTCCAACAAAGGAGGTTCCATAGAGAGGTGGGCTTAATGATCAGCGTAAACTGCAAAAGAAACTTGTAAGATCAGCACTTACTGGAATTGGTGCTGTCATCCTTGGTTCCATCAACAGCTCCATCGGGGTGCATTTGCAAGTAGAACCCTTGCCTGCAATATAACCTGGTCACTATACCCTTCAGCTGGGGATCTGAAAAACAATTGAAAATTCCCTTTAGTTTTCATAAGTTAAACAAATGAATTCTGTTTTAAGTTCTATTTAAATAGGATCAGTCAATGCATCAATCCTTTCTCCACAGACATCCAGAAGGGGGGAGGTGAAGGACCAAAGGAAATAAGATCAGGGCATATGCTAGAATGAAATTCAGAAACTTTGCCTGAACAACAAAATGTTGAGTCTGTTGGATCTCAACAAATCATAGAATTTTATAGCATAAAAACAGTTCATTCAGTCAATCACTGACGTTTTCCTCCAAATCCACCCAATCTAAACCCATTCTTCTCCTAAATTTCTCGCTTATTGTTCCGTGAAAGAGATCGCCATATAATGTGTTCCTGTCTGTTAGTCACGCATCTAAGCAATTTGTAACTTTGGGTAATTCACTGTCAATTGTCAGTGAAGTAAAGATAGTAATTACCAGGCTAGAAGAGTAATAATTGCTAAAATCTGAGGTATCTAAATGCAATCGTGTTCTGCTGGATGGTATCCAACTGCAATTCCAAGCAGAAGACAATTGACAAACTATATTTACATTTTACTTGCAACAGAAGCATCAAATAAATGGAATTCTTTTAGATCATCTTTTGAATCATTTGATGGTATCATTTCTAAAACATTGTGTAAACCGGTCAGAGTAAATAAAGACGTTTTTTAATTAAAATTTAAGATGAGAAACTCTTTCATTATTGATAAAGTGTTTCTGCTTTCAAACTGTCTTTTAGAATTAGGGCTTGACTTTGACATGCAGGCTATTGTGATAACACAGTTTGTTTCCCCGTATCCTGTGATGACATTCAAGAGATCTCACAAGAATGCAAATAGCATACAAACCTAAATGCCTAAAGCTCCTCGGACCAAAAGGTAGAGTTTTAATTAAAGCAATCTCAAACTCACAAGAGGCTCCAATCAAATCTCTGGATGGTAATGCTGCACATTTTATGTCCAAAGGGAAGAAGAAGAAAGAGATCAAAATGAAAGGATTTTGAAGCTGAAAATCCAATCAGCAATGCACACCACAGTTTGTCAAATCGTATTCCCATCATGGAATTTGGTTTTTAATGCTTTAAAATGTAATACTATGATTTTTTCTCACATCCAGTTCACTTTATCATGCCTGCAGCTAATTTTTTTAATAATTATATTTTTGTTACATTTCAAAATGTTGCATTAACATACCAGGCATGGATGTTTTCTGCTGCCTCGTGTGCTGTAAAGGAGGCAAAAATAAGTTCCTTATTATTCGCAACTCTTCCTCTACCACAAACTGCTCGAGAAACAGGGGAGACTGCATTGGACGAGCCACAGTTTTCTCAGCCCACCCACACACTCCGGAAATGTAGGCCTGACTACTCTTAGTTTAAAATGCTCAAAATAGCTTAAGAAATAATTTCAATTTGACAATCAAAAATGCAATATTATCAATCCTGTAGCTGATACTATCATTTCAAGGTGCAACATTCTTTCATGTCCAAATGACACAATGTCTCATATTGACAAATTGAAAATAATCGGCAAATTGCTTCTTATTTTAAAAAAGAAACAACTTACAAATCATTTTACAGTTTAAACTTCAGCTTCATACTTTCTAATAATATTAAAAACACAAAGTGGTATAATTTGGGATATTTCTTAACAAAATTCTTCAATGAGGAATTTGAGTTGTACGAATGGGGACTCTTACAATAACTGAAAGTATGTCACATTGCCATCCTTCCAGTTGTTAAATATCCCTGGGTAAAGAAATATTTTGGGTTGTCTGTCCTGAAATTCCCTTTGTAACCCTAAACCCATGTCCTCTTGTTCTGGTATCCCAGTATATCCAAAAGTATTGTTCTGTTACTTTCTTAATCCCATTTAACATCTTATGCACTTCGATAGTTTTCTTTGAGACATCTCCTTTCAAGACAGAAGAGCCTTAACTTATCTAATCATTGCTCATAACTCATTCCTCTAACACTATTCTCTCTCTCTTCTCTACTGGTGGGTCTGTGAAGCCCTTATCTTGCAGCAACCAACATGCACACAATTCTCTAGGTACGGGCAGACCAGCTCAAGTATGAACTCAACTAAATTTGCAATATAGCTCAGCAATCCTATTTGCCTATGTTATTGCTACCTCACAATCTTTTGACATGGTGAGCGATGAGCCAACTAACACCCCTAGATCTTAAACTTAAATCCTTGGCAAGTCCCCTATTCTTACTTTCTATATGCAATACCTTGTTTGATGGAAATACCAACAGGATTCCTTATTATTACAGCAATTTGAGCTCGAGAAAGAGAGAAAATTTCAACAAGCAAATCAAGATGGGTTACTTAAATTTTGCCTCCTCATAGTTGTGCTTGCTTACAAATGTGCATTTATAAATGTCTGCCTCTAAGCATAAAATTTATCAAAACAATGTAAATGGCATTTATATAAATGGTTCAGTATCCAACCAAGTGAAAAATATTTTTCTTGAGCTGATCATCTTCCTTACCCTAGTTATCATTCTCACACTACAATAATATAATCATTGTAAACATCAATTTTGATCAATGTAGCAAGCTTTGATTTCCCTTTAATAATGACACATGCATACCTGTGACATTTTTATAAGCCCTATTGGACGGACGATAAGATTTCACATTTAATGGGTTATTTTGTAAAAAAAAATATTTCAACTAAAACAGAAATACAGTCTCAAAAACTTAAGGACTTTCTTAAGGAGAAAATATTCCATATATAATATATAATAATAATTATTGCATTTGATATAGAGCCTTATCATGTCTTTGAGACATCTCAAAGCGCTTCACAGAATATACTATAAAGTGAATTGACTGTATATTTTGTGCGTGAAACGCAGCAGCCAATTGTGCACATATATGAGATGAACCTTCAGCCGTTATCTCATGCCTGCTTGTCAGTCACAATTGAAGAATTTTATGAATTTATTTATACAATTTGGTACTTAATATAAGATTGTAAATCCAAGTCAAAAATATCTAATGATAAAGGTGTTGCATTAACAAGACAGCTCTTGAAGTGTTAATAATAATACAAATAATCATAAATATGATATAATGCCTTTCACATCTGGAGGATGTCTCCAAATTCTTCACAGGATCCACTCTAAAATATTGTAACTGGATTTTGAGGGCGAGTAATCCCACATTTTGACTTTATTTTCACACAGAAACATACCATAGAAGCTTATAAAGAGCTTATAAACAGCAGCTAACTTTTACAAACTGCAAACTCGCCCCATACCATGTGTAATGTACTTAGTATTAAAGCAGGAGAGGAATGTAAGCTAGGAAGACCCTTTCAGATTATTGTGCATTTGAATCATTTTAACAGGCAACAGCTTCATTCCTACATTGTTGTGTAAATTAATAGTATACCTATTACTCAATAAAGCACAAAACACACTTATTATGTTTTTGTCTGAGTCTGCTAACTACTGACCTTTCCCCAAATTAGACTATTGCTAAGTGATAGGATCCCTCTGAAATATCTACATGTTTATCACAAGATAGGTTTGAATGAACAAGAGACTTTCATATCATCCTTCCAGTAATTCAACTCTATCTTTAAAGCATCAAGCTGTTTCTTAAATTATTCCTATGTTTTGGCCTTGACTACCCTTTCTGGTAACCAATTCCATCTGTCGATTACCTTCTCTGTATAGAAATAACCTTCTGAATAAAGAAATAATTGAGTTGTCCAGATCCAGGTACCTCTGGGCAGTCAGTCATATGGGAATAAGTCAATACTGTCACCCAAGAATTAACTCTGCAGTTCGTATGAACAGAATTGCTCCAATCGCAACCACCACTTGAGATATCATAGAGTGAGGTTAAGAGAAGAATAATCTTGATTCTGGGCAAAAGGAATCAAGAATAAGAGAAGAAACACAGCTTTGTTGGCATATTGCTAGAATTGGTAATAATTTATATGAAATGAAAGCATATCTATATTTATTCAAAATTATATTATCTAACGGCAATTTGAAGTAAGATAGTCTTTCCCATTATACTGTATGTGCCACTTTATGAAGCAAAGAAAAATAATAGCTCACTTGTCATATGATGAATACATTTCTTCAAGATTGCACTTAATAGTAGATGATCGCCGTTGGAAAGCTATCTAACTGTGTCTATCAGTGCACATTGTGATGATATCACATGCATCATCAGAACATTGTGCAATGTGATCGTGTCCCTGGCACGTCATCGTTATATCTCTTGTATGGTTAACACTGGGTCAGTACTACATGCATCGTTGCGTCGAGTCACATGAAATCATATGTCACAGCATGTTACCTAGTTGCCAATGGTTAGCGTTACTGTGACACAGGTGGCACTGAGGTATTCTGACTCTTTCCCTTCTTAAAACAGCAAAGATTTCCCTTTGAAATATTTCCTTAAATACTAACATCTTTTTTCCAGAATGAATGGCAACTACATCCAGAGGAAGGCTTCAAAAATTAAAAAAAAAGGCTGTATTTTAAAAGATATGTTTGGAAGAAGATCATTGGAGACTCTTAATATTGGACATCAGTCTTTGATTCATATTAATTTCTACTGTGGACGCATGGTCTGTTGCACTGCTGTCCAGTTAGCTTTACATACAGCAAACTGGTGAGTCAGTCTGATAGGAAGCTGCACATGGAAGTAAATACTGATCTGGGCTCTTTTATTCATTGCAAGGGGAGCCTACTTAACTGAATTCCCTAATGAACACTTAATGGAAGTATTTGTAGTTACTGGTGTCTCTCAGTCACACCTAGTTATCATGGTTTATGTTCTAGAATTGGTGGTAAGAGGCAGCCTTGAAATTGAGGTTATGCGAAGAACTCCCCAAAGGGAAACTGTGCGGGAATGATGGACTGTGGGAACCAATCACCAGTCTTGTAACGACTGGAACAGAAGTCCATGATGTCACATCAGAGAGAATTCTGTGCACAACATCTGTTTACAGGGCT